GTAACACTACGTCCTATCCTCTTATAAATCAACAAGCATGGTTGAGAACATCAAGCATGGTAACAAGCGATGCGTGCAACATCGCGACAAATAACAACACCAAGTCTCAACAAAGGTTCGGGTGAGAACTCAAGCCAATAGCGCATCATAACTTCCTATCCCGAGAATAGGGAATCCACTTACATGCTGCGTTCCAACTACGTAACACACCGCCCTATCCAAGTGTTAGGGAATTCACTCACCTAGACTCACAAGAAAACTTCTACGGTGGTCGACGACGGCAAATGGCGAGAGAGAGAGATGATTGGCGTGATGGTGAGGGAGAGAGAGAGACGTGAGAGTGAGAGATGAGAGAGGAAGAGGAAGTGGAGTGTAGTAACTAAGGGGAGAACCAAGCCTATTTATAGGCGAGCCAACTTGCTCCCCAAACTTTGACCACTTGCTCACCAAGCTTTGCCAACTTGCTCAACAAGCTTTGACCAATCTTGCTCACCAAGTTTTGCTTTCTAGAACCCTCCTTTTTGTCTCTCGGCTCCCTCTCGGTTTCCCCCTTCATGTGACCTCCAATCAAAGCTTAGAATATCTCATTTGAAAGCTCAGAATGAGCACATTAAATCACCAGAAGACATCATGTCGAGATTCAAACGTTCTCATATAGAAAATGATGAATCTTTGAAATCTGACAAAACCGGCAGTTTTTGCACTATTCTAGAAATCGGGCTTAAAAACATAGTAAACGAACTCTGAAAATTCTCAAATTTGAATATTTCATAAAAAAAGACATTAAGAAACATTTTCATGAACATGAAATCTGAATCTTTCTGTAAACACAACTTTTAATAGCTCAAAGACAGGATAAAACCTGTTTTCCGGAACAGAATCTTTGCTTTTCAAAGTAAGCTCTGTTCAAAATCTAAATCATCTCAAAAAATTCCAAAATTTATATATATTATAGAGAAATAAGTCCTCAACAACTTTTGTGAAGGGAGTTTGTTCAAAATCTGCCCAGAAAAGTTTGTAGAAAATCGAGAAAGTGTAAACATCACAGAAATACCCATTCTGGGCAGTTTTACACGGTCCAAAATTAGGCTATTGTACTACTCATATCAAGTCCAAAAATTCTGAAATTAAAGTATGTAAAACGTCAAGATGTTTGGAGAAACTTTTAAGAAGGAAGTGTTTGGAAATTCGGATCACAAAAGTCTCCACAAAAATAACAAAATGAAGGGGTACAAAGGATCCGAATCTGGATTTTCCAGAACAAGAGTAAAATTTGCTCCGATTGGAAAACCACCAAACTTAAACCATGGCCATTTTCTAAGGACTAAAATTGAGGATGTTACACATGAAAATTCTAAAAAATTTATTTTTGGTTTAGAAATAGGTTCCTAAGCATGGCCAAGGTTCCTAATCCTAATTTTGTGATTTTTAGGAAAATTTAAAAAATAGACCAAAAATCAGGCGTCAACAATGTGTAGAACTAATCTTTATTTGGACACATGTGGTGTGAACATGCTGAATCTAAAATCCATTCGTCATCAATACGACAATCCGAAGACGAAACAATAAGAACATTATTTGCCTCAGCTGACTCGTTATCTTTCACTAGACTACTCGATGTGGAACTTTCCATGGACTTCTTCTCCTTAGCCTTGAGCAAAGGACATTCATTTTTGTAGTGTCCGAATTTGTGACAATAATAACATTCTACCTTACTCTTGTCTCGGCCTGACCTAGACTTTGAACGTCCTTTACTACTACTGCGCTTATCATAATGATTCGACTTTCCCCTAACAACTAAGCCATCTGCTTTATGACCATTGCCACTCGCATTCAACTTTGCACGCATCTCCGCAAAATTCAACGAGGCCTTCACATCCTCAAGAGTTATGGATTCCCTCCCATACAACATATAATTCACAAAATTCTCATACGAGCTTGGTAGTGAGCATAACACAATTGAGGCTTGGTCTTCATCATCTAACTTCAAATCTAGATTTTTCATATCCATCACAATCTTATTAAATTCATCTAGATGTTCTTGGATAGGAGTATCTTTTTGCATGTTTAACGTGTAAAGACGCTACTTCAAGAATAATCTTGTTGTAAGAGATTTCTTCATGTAGAGGCTCTCGAGCTTATTCCACAATCCTGAAGCCATTTCTTCATCGGCGACCTCTCGAAGCACCTTGTTGAACAACGATAATTGGATGGTGCTATGCGCCTTCTCTTCCATCTCCTCAATCTTAGCCGTAGTCATGTCGTCGGGGTACTTTCCATCCAAGGCTCTAACCGAACCTTCGCGACGCAACTCCTTCATCTTGATCCTCCATAGCCTGAAATTGTTTTGGCCATCGAAGGGCGCCACTTCGAACTTGATAGATGCCATCTCGAACAAAAGACCGAAATTCCTGCACTTTGATACTAATTTGTTGCGGAACAACACCAAGAGAAGCCCAAATCGAAGCACAAATAGCAAGGATGAAAGCAAAATTGAACCCCACGAGACACAAGATATACGTGGAAACCCAAAACGGGAAAAACCACGGGGAAAGAGAGGGATTTCACTATCTTCAACTACGAGTACAATCGAAAAGCTCAAAAAATCACTTGGTGAGCCATAAGATCTAATGGTCAAATAAGAAGATAGAAAGAACAGATAAGAGAGAGAATGCGGAGGCTAGAGTTAAAGATGCATTGCGCAAGACATCCCTTTTATAGTCCCCCTTCAAAAAACCCCTAAAAAATAAATGTGCATGGTCCAAAATAAACTTGTCATCAATTTGAAAGTCAAAACTCAACAGTTTGCATTTTCATTATCATTTGGAAGCAAAATGGTTGCTTTTCTTATGGGCATGATTGGCCCTCTGGCCTTTGCAGCGACCTTCATCGTATGAGTCTTCTCACTGAGTAACGTTATTCATAGGTTTTCCTCTGGGTTGGGTCAGAACATATCCACGTACTACATCTTTCGCATTCTCAAATTTACCAAAGGTACTTGGAAAGAAATCTGAGCCATGAAAAGTAGTGTTTTCGGTCATTTGACGACTTCTCCGCTTTTAATTTTTTCGAGGGACAATGCCACCAATTGTTGTTGACACTTGAATTTTGCCGACAAATTAGGCACGTAATGTTTGTAAGAATACAGAAAATGAATAAAAATGGCGTAATGATTCACAAGTTTGAATCAAACCCACTTTTGGTTCAAACCCGCTCGTCTCCGCTCAAATCGATACCTTAGCTTCAATCCGGTGGCCTAGATACATTAAACCCAACAAATTTTAGTTTTGGTGAGCTCGATTCATGACACCACAAAAAGAGCAAAAGAGAAACAAATTGAGCCTAGAGAGAGTGAAGCCCACAACAAAAGAGAAAAGCTCATGTGACTAAACAAAGAAAACCAGCTCTATCTCTGACTCTTTCCCTCGCGTCTGCAAAACGGAAAGCAAAGGAACGCAAGCGCGAGAGAACGGACGAATAAATTGAGCGGAATTCTAACGCGCACCAAAAAGAACGCCAGGCGGCCGATTATAGAATTCGCTGATCTAATACGCTGTTTGTTCTACAAACATAGGGAATTGTAATACTGTTGTGGGTATATCAGCAGGAAAAAAAAAAGGTTAATTCTTTTGTGGGGGCATGAATAGAGAAACTAGTAATCGCATAATATTTTAATTTATGAATAACATACCGTTCTAGAGTAAATTAGACATATGGGACATATGCGATCAAGTTATAGTGGGCGTAGCACATCTCGGTTTCAATATTGCAATGTGATTGGGTGGTCAATATAGGCTAGTTCGTAAAAGTGACTATAATGGATAAGACTATTAGAATACCCACTATAATTAGGTTATGGTCCCCTCTCGACCACCTCATTCTAGACAAGTATAGATAACCTAGTTTCTAGTTCATACGACTTCGTCTGTCTTGATTGATTCAAAGATTTGGACTTCCTAACACCAGATATGTGATTTCAATTTTAATATAGATACTCTAAATTCTACAGTTTTCGACTTTATCATAATATAGGAGCAAAACGGTTGGTTTTCTTTATGGCTCTTATTGACTTCTGGCCTTTGCAGCATCTAATACAGTGACGAGGCCTCATCATACGAGTCTTCTTCACAGCGAGTAATATAATTCTTAGTGTTATTGTACAACCTAGGGTTTTCATACTTCCCACTTTAAAAAGGGAAATCATAAGGAAATATGAGCCATGAATTTAAAAGTAGCTTTTTTTTTTCTCTATCTTTTGGAGACTCTGCATTTATCTTTTTAACTGAAAGTTGAAAGGAGGGGTTGGGAAATTCTTGCCCGGCCTTGATCTATATGGATCGAGCACAGTCTCTGGAGGGGTTTAGGAGAGTATGTCTAATATTGATCATGAGATTGACGTGACGTAATCGATCTTTTGTACTATATTCTTAAGATGTATTTTTTAGATTAAGGCAAAACACGAAATCTTATGGCTAAACTTTCAGAAAAAAAAAGCAGCCAGCTACTTATATTTAATAAAGAATAGATACATCTAATGATATAATAGGAAAAATAAGGTATGTTTCACTCTTTGATATTGTCATAATTACCACTGATTAAAAAAAAAAAGATCGAACTAACCATTATGCTCATTTCATTAATCGTTACTCAATTAATGTTTTATAATTACTAGCTACATCCACTTTATTAAATGACCATCAAGTTCCTCCCAAAGTGATTGCTTTTACATATATATATATATATATATATATATATATATTCGTACACAAACACTCAGCATCATGTTGGTGCTTTGGACGTGCCTTAACTTTAGTATCTACACATTTAAAAAGGCAACAGAGCTGAGAAAAGGGTTGAACACACTGTTACTTGCTTCTTGGCAAAGGAGCTTCTCGGCGAAGGAGTCTCATAACTAGTCAAGAGGGTCAAAGACTTCATTGGCTCCATTTATATGCTAGAAAACCATCGGCTCTCCGTGTGTTTCCAAGTTCACCATTCACCTCTTGCAAATGCAATTCACTCTGCCCCGTATACTAACATCTTCAGCTGAGTGTTGCTGATCAACAATCTCTCTCTCTCTCTCTCTCTCAGTGGTCAACTAAATGCAGTTTGTTGCAGAAGTTTCATAAATCGTAAGCAAGAACAGTAGTCACTTCAACAAATCCTCCGGTGAGCAACATAGTCAAACTTTACATGGTACTTATGCAAAAGATGTATCGGTTCTAACTTTTGTCTCGGTCTGGGGCAAGAATGTTAGATAGTAGTCGTAAATGGTTCTTTTAAGAGCACGAACTCGATTTCACAGGCTCCACATGAGTCCCACTTAACCCATGGATCAGGATTTTGGGGTGTGAACATGCATCCCGTGCAATCATAACACTTACTTCTTTTGTAAGTTACCTCGCATTTGAGGGAATTCAAATCAATGGGCAAAAGAAGAAAAATTGATGCGGAATGTACACTTTCAAACATTACAATTTTTATTTATTTCCTCATCTTTTTATTTAGAAATTACTTTAGGATATTACGTGATTTTTTTTTTCAATTTTGAGTAGCCCATTTTTATATTTAAGATTTACTATGTTCGTGTTTCTTATTAGTTAAGATATTTCTTATTTCATGCTTAAAATTTCATTATAGTTTTTCAATTTATTCGCGTCTAACCATTTCCAATGTGTCACTTGTCAGAAATTCCAAATTATTGCAGGTGAGAATAAGAATGACGAATGAGTCGGACAAGATCAGCCAGTTATCGCGGCACATAATGGACCAAATCCTGTCACGCTTGCCTATTAAAGACGCAGTGAGGACTAGTATTTTGTCGAGAAAGTGGCGGTACAAATGGTCTTCTGTTCCACAACTTGTGTTTGATGACCAATGCACCAGCGCCACGGGAGTTCCTTCTCTTCAACCATCTCCACAAGAAAACTTGGTGAAGATAATTGACAAGGTCCTCTTGCTTCATATTGGGTCGATACAGAAGTTCAAGCTCTCTCACAAAGAAATTTACGCCTCAAGTGACATTGACCACTGGATTCTTCATCTATCCAGAGTCTCCGTTAATGAAATCGTAATTGACATCTGGAAAGAGCAGAATTACAAGATTCCCACCTCCTTATTCAATTGCAAGGACTTGATTCATTTGGAACTCTTCAAATGTGTAGTAAAAGTCCCATCAACGTTTGAAGGATTCAAGAACTTGGAAAGTTTGGATCTTCAGCATGTTGAACTGTCTCGAGACGGGCTTGAGGCTTTGATTTCTCGCTGCCCCCTTCTAAAAATTCTGAGGTTGAGCAACTTAGAGAGGTTTAAGCAAATTACTGTTGAAGCTGGCAACCTTGAGTGGCTTGAAGTTGAAGGAGATTTACAAGATGTCACATTCGGTGTTATGAACCGTTTGGAGTCGGTCATAATAGGCTTCTCTGATGATATTGCTAACAAATGTGGACCCGGCGATGCCAACTTGAGCAATTTGCACAAACTCTTCCAAAGTCTGCCCAAACTTCAAAGTCTCAAGCTTGAAAATTACTCACTGAAGGTACATTTTGAGCACATAAATTCTGAAATTTCTTAGGACTCTATTCACTATTATCTTTGTGATGAAAATATTTTGGCTCTATAATTAAATCCTTGGTATCAATTGACACTCGATTTTGGTTGATTTGTGTAGTATTTGGCATTTGGGAATGTTCCACAGACACCACCTAATGAACTCGTTCATTTGAAGTACCTCTTCACATGTATAGACTTCAATAGTGTGGAGGAGATTTTGACTGTTATGTGCTTGATTAGAAGCTCTCCTCAGTTGAAACATGTAGGCTTTCAGGTGAGTATGATCATTGAGATTAGTGTCTAGCAGACTAATCTTGTATTTCTTCAAAACTATTATCACATATCGTATTAAGTTATTTGTCTGATTTTTCAGCATTGTTTTATGACTTGGCAAAAAATTTGAAGCACATAGTGAACCAAACTTAAAGTACAATGATCTGTCACCGTAAGCTAAGTGGATTTTACTTATTAAGTGGTATACTATAACATATCATAGTGAGACAAATCAATGAATCCTTTTCTATTTAGCGAAATTGCTCATCATTTGAAGAAAGATGAATGGGTATCAGAAGAGTGTTGCTTCCTTTGTATCAAGTTTTAGATTATATGTTACGTATAATTTGATTTGATTTGATTTTCGGTGATCATGATGTTACACGGTGCTTTTTGATCATTGATTTGAGGAAAAGAGAACTAATCTATACACTATAGTCATTAAATTATGCATTCTCAGAATGAATGATGGTATAATAATCTCTTTCAGCCAAAAGGACAGAAATTGTAATACAGGGATCACATTAAAGGAAATAGACAAAGCAAGCTCTCTGTCTCTCTTGATAAAATGACCAAAGTAAGCTCTCTCTACGCATCTCTATGTTAAAGTTGCTCTTTGATCGTAAAAACCACAGAATCGTGCCAAGGATGAACAGACTACAAGGATTGGGACAATAGCTGACTTTTGGGAAGACCACCGTGTGTGTTGTCTAGAACAATTACAAATTGTATCGATGGTTGGGATTTCCGGCAGTAAGCCAGAGCTGGAATTGATGAAGTTTCTACTTACTAGCTCGCCAAACCTACAAAAGATGACAATCCAGCCTAATTCCACAAATGGAGAAGGCAAGTTGCTCAGGGAATTGGTACGGTACCGGCGAGCCTCAACTCAAGCAGAAGTGTTCTTTCTTTGATCCTGTTGATCCGGAAGCCAACCCCCCTTAAGATTGAATCACAAATGGCAGTAACGGTCACCGCAATTGTTTTGCTATGCTACGTTGAACTTGAATATACTGATAGACAGATTTTTTTTTTTGTATTACTAACAATAATGCAAATCCTCTTCGTTCATCTTGTGTTAGCCTCTCGTAAGGAGATTCTCATTCCATGTATAGTCATTAATGAAAGCATCTGGTTGCTTTTCTTATAGCACGGATTGCCCTTCTGGCTTTGATTGTATGAGTCTTCACACTGAGTAATGTAATTCGTAGGTTATCTTCTGGATTGGGTCAGAATATATTAATGTACTACATCTTTCACAATCTCAAGTTAACAAAAAGGTAATTGGAAAGAAAGATGAGCCATGAAGAGTAGTTTTTTTTGGCTAATTTGAAGACTTCTCAGCATTTGTTTTTGAGAAATGCCAAGAAGACGGTTCTGTCACCTTATGTAAAGTGACGGTCTACTCTTGGCCACAAAATCATTCCTTAGGAACAGAATGACTTGTTCATCCAGTTTCCATGGAAGTAGCCTTCTTTAAAACATTAGGTTATTTACCTAAGATTACGCATAGCCATGACAAAAAGAAAAAAGAAAAAAAGAATGCTAGATCATAGACAATCCTTCCGCGAGTCAAAGAAATATTATTTGCTTAGTATTTTCTAGATTGGAATTCCCAAGGTTTGTGTCATTTTATAATGTTGCTAAAATATTATAATATATAAAAGCCAACATAATCATTTGCATGACTACTATACCACGTTTTATGTTTAAATTTCCTCACACGAGCCTATCAGTGGCACAATATTCTTTTCCCTAGTCATGGTCACCTCATTTTCACAGTTTTAAAACATGTGCTACTAGCTTGGAGTTATGGTGAGACTAGCTAGTCTACAAAAGTAACAATTAAAACACGAGCAACGTGGAATTAGAGAAGTGATTGGAATCAAAGATGAATCTGACTCCCTACATTATACAATTTTGCTTGAACCAATTTTATCTTCAACTAAGTTTCTACGCATTTTCTCATATTTCACCTTATAAATTGGAATGTATGAAATATTTTGCCTCTCTTTAGGCTATGATTCTTCATCTGCCAGTGTGAAGTGTACTATCCCTATACATCTGATGTCTGTCGCATAGCTGGCAATACATTGATGTAACTTTTTACTTCTTAAAATCAATTAAAATTTGCATTTCCCTTTTGCAAATTGCGCCCGACATGTTTTATTTTATTCGAAATCCACTAGAAAAAGAAGGGGGCTCTCAGGCCAGAGAAGAGCGAGGATCGAGTGTTAACACAATTCAAATTGGACGCAAAGCAGATTTGGAAATGTCTAACGCAATCGATGATGGCTTGGTACTTCATCTTGTTCTTCCAATCCATCACATTGGCAATGGATTGGCGAGCAGACAAGTCACATACTCTTTTAAATTAGTTCCAGCATTCACGTAGTGATCTGTGCCATCTCCCTATACCGCATTCATGGATCGGGCAAGATTGATGATTCGCATGAGGAGTACCCTGGGAACGATGTTCGGACGGCACAACTCTTCGTTAATGTCCTTCCACACATTGGCCACTTGTTTGCCGAGTTCCTCCTTTGCCTTTCCTCCGTAACTCCATATTGTTTCATGAAACACTCCACCGAAGATGCCACATGACCTCTCTCTTGCTCAAACTATAAAAAAAAAAAATATCGTTGAAACTCTTTTTTCTCCTATTGATAAAACCTATGAGACAAAATCTTGATAAAATGTTGATTCACTGGTATAGCTTTTGTATACCTTGTGTCCAGCAATGTCATTCATGAGCCAGCAGATTACTTGCGAAGCCTTCACTATCTTGGGATCGCTGAATAATAACCAGTCAAAATCATCTTTTGTTACATCTCCCATTCCCAGAAACGCTGTCACAAATGTCAATTCACAGCCAATGGTTGTTAATGCAATGGGCATGTACTCCTCCATCGTTGGTACGTGGCCTTGGTGGAACCATTTGGCTTCGGCCAAGTACGCTCTCACTTGGACTTTCATCTGAGAATTCATTATCGAACGTAAAGCTACATCAATATTCGAGCTTTAATGTATTTGGTGGATTTAGATGTATGACAGTCTCTCATCCTTATCCAAAAGATCGATAATTCTGTTTTAAGTGGATAAATTAAAAATTGTATTTGATTAATGTATTGTCGAATGGCTTACCGCTTCTTTTGCAAAGAAGAGGCAGCATGATCTTCCTTTTCTGGTCAGTTCGCAGCCAATTTCATTATACAAATCAAGAAGTGTCTTGTAAAACACTTGCACGCACTTTGGCAATCCTTCTTTGGCATCGACATCCCACCTGAATTCAAGTTTAGAAAATATAAAACTTGATCATAATTAACAGTTGATCAAATTACAATAAGTAAGTTTAGCCGAAAAACTGAGAAAAGCCTCCAAGAGCCAACTGTACCTTTCAACTGCTTCTGCTAAGAGTTCTAGTTCTTCCAATGTGCCATGGACATCGTAGATGTCGTCGAGAATGGTAATAGTGACCATCATTTTGGTTAATATTCCTCTAGCAATCTCATACTCCGGCTCGAAAGAAACTCCTAACATCTAGACATACAGCTCCCCAAGCATATCTCTAGTAAATGGGAACTCCCTCTCTATATCTAAATCCTTCCACCACCTAAGGAAAGGCGAATTAGAATCATTCAAGGGTATTCCAAGCTTTGGGAAAGGCGAATTAAGACTTCGTTGCGCGCGACCAAAGCATTCAATCATGAATTGACAATTCGACCATAAGGATCGTTGAAGGACAACCATAAGCCATTTCAAGCCGATCCAGGAATGGTTATAGATCGATTTGACAATAGTATAGAATCGGATTGCGGGTGATTCCGCATGATTACTATATTGATTTCGAACGACACTAAACCAATCCTTAATGACCGTATGCTTCGAAACGGGTTATTAACCCCTCACGATTACATGACAAACGAGGGTCATTCATGGATTGAGAATGCTTAAACACGGATTGATTTGGAATCAATTACGGGTTAAACGCATGAAACCCCTAAAAGCCGCTCATTGTTCTAATTATACGAAAGACGCATTTGAGTGATTTTAACCATAAATTCCAATCCAGTTGAGGATATTGGACTCTAGAGGATTAAGAGATAATTATTAGAAAAATTCTGGGAATCGCTTATTTATCAGTAAACCGAGAAACCTTGGAAAAGTGAAATTTGGGCCGGAAATTGGGCCCGCGAATTTCTAAGAGCCCAATGGGCCTCATGGATTGTATAGTCGGCCACGAGGGCCCAATGGAAGGAAAATTACGGTTTTGCCCTTTTAGGCCCAAATTAAGAAGTTTTGAGAATTTGTGCAAGAAAAGCTCGAGAAGAGAAGCCCGTAAGGAACTAAGCCCAATGACAGGGCCCAAGGAGGATTTCGGCCCAAGAAGAATGAGCTTAACCCAAGTTTAAGCCCACTGAATCTTTCAAGCCCATTTCAAGCCCGTTTCTCTTCAAATTGGACCTGTTCAAGCCCAAGCCCAAGTTTGTTGACCCGAACCCAAGCCCATGTGAATAGTGCACATGAATAGTGCCGTGAATAGTGTCAAGAGCTGAAATTACCAAAATAGCCCTCTCATCTTCTCTTAATTACCAAATTGCCCTTTTAGAAGCTTTTTGCAAGATTGATTCCTAGCCATTGGATCTTGACTTGTTGGGCAAGGATGGATCTTGGCCATCCATTTTGGGGTGTCTTGCAAGATACTTTCTCTCTCCTCCTCATTTCTCTCATTTTCTCTCTATCTCTTCTCTCTCTCTCTCTCTCTCTCTCTCTCTCTCTCTCTCTCTCTCATGTTTTTCTCTCCCTCTCGGCCTCACCATTTTCTGCCACCATCACCGCCCCTTTTGGCTGCTGTTTTGGCCACCGTTCACCCCCATCTCCGCCCCCAAGCCACACCGTGAGCTGCCCTTGCCGAGCCACCACCGTGTGCGGTCCGTCCGAGCTGTTTCCTCGCCGATTCGCCCTCACCGCGAGCTAAAACAGCCCACAGAAGCTGTGGTGCTGCTGTCCATGCCGTCGTCGCCACCTCGTGTTGTTTCCGGACCGAGCCACGCGCAGCCCTCGCCGCCGCCGTCACGCCCGTGTCGTCGGAATCGTTTCCGGGTGAGTTAACGCTCTAATCCTTGATTAGTACGTTAAACTTGCTTAGGGTTTGATTAGACTAAGTTAATATTGCTTAGTGATAATTAATTAAGGATTAGTTGATAAGTTATCGCGATAAATGATAAGTGGACTTAATAAGTTATCGAGAAAATGCGATAAGCTATCGAATTTTTAGTGATAAGCTTTTGCCGATATTGCGATAAGCTATCAAGGATTTGACGATAAGCTATCGAGAATTTGATGATAAGCTATCGGATTATTTTATTATTAAGTAAATTAATTTTCGGAATTTAAATATTAATATATTATTAATATTTTTGTGTAGAGTGTAATAATAAATTGTGATTGTTTTAGGCTTGAATTGTGATGTCTATGTTAGAAATTGCCATATAAATTAGCTTGTGTAGCTCAATGAATTGTATTGCCATTTTTAAGGATGGAATTGCGGGCATGTGAACAGTAAATCTCGAGGTGTCAGGTTTGTATGTCGGGTTTGTATGTCAATTTTTATGAGCTAAATAGGGCGTGGATGTTTGAATTGGGAAGTATGCAAAGTTTGATGGATTAATTATATGTTTGTGATCACGTGTGAATTTATTACCGCATTTTTATGTGTGGAAGTTGCAGTAATTTGTTGTGTGAGCACGAACCACGTTTGCATTTGGCTAAATGCTGAGATATAAATGAGTTGTATGTTTGTCGTGCTCGTGTGATCACATAAAGGAACCTGTCACTCAGCGGGGGTCTAGGGATGCAATGTGTGACATTGTGCGAAAAGTGAGTGCAATATGTGACATTGTGCATAAGAGAATAGCACATCATATACCCTGTTGTATTGGCTAAATTCAAAGATAAAGAATTGGCTTGAGTGGTTAGTGTGCCTGCATGGTCACATGAAAGTTCGTACAGGCGGGGGTTCTAGACGATGCCCGGTGAGGGTTCAGATGCCGTCTAGGCGGGGGTTCTAGACGATGCCGTGTCGCGGTTGAGGCCAGATCGATACTCCTTATGGAATGACGTCTGGACGGGGGTTCTAGATGTTGCCGTACCCGACGGAGTAGGACGACGCCCGGTTATGCCAGAAGACACCGGCGGGGGTTCGGTTGTGGCCTT